TGTACATATAAATACATACGTTGCATATAATTATTGCAACATATGCCCATAAAGCATACAAGTAAAACGTCGATTAATTGGGATAACATGGCCGGATGAAATCACCGAAAATATTATAAAATTACTGTCATTTTTATTAACGGTGCAAGAAAGACTTCGACGGAAACGATTCCAAGGCAATGGTCGGAAGGACACGTGAGATTTAAATTCTTTAAATTCGAGCCACGGCGAATAGGTTAGGTTAGGTTAGGTTAGGTTGGATTAAGTTGGGTTAGGTTGGGTTGGAGTGAGTTAGATTTGGTTAGGTTAGGTTAGGCCGCCGCTCCCGCCATGTGTCGCGGAAACCCAACAGATGTCGGCCCTCCACCCTTATGTGCATCCCCGATGTCCGTCCACGAGCGATGCATTCGTCTTGTCAGTTAACACAGGGCGAGGGCAGAGCCGGGGGAGATTCGTAACACTTCGCCCGGGACTTTCGATATGAATAGCGCATCCCCTGGTCCAAGAGGGCCCTGATTAATGCTCGGGGGGGATCAAAGCCCCGCGCCAGGGTGAATGGGCCTTAATGCCGGCGCGTGTTCCCCAAAAGAGAAACTGGCCTACTCTTTTATCGTCCTTCGATCATCCACGTTTTCCTCCTTACAATTAGTAAATATTTCTTATTCTTAAATATTTATATTCGTAAATATTCTCCTCCCGAAAGGATACATCCACGGTATAAATTACCGGGAAAAAGAAAAAAAAAAACAACAACAGCGATTCAAATCTGCCCCAATATCAGTATCAGACGGAGATTAAGACAATCGACATAGAACTGTCGACTTATAAATTCAACCCTCTATTTTACTAATAGTTATGAAAGTGGTCTAATAAACAAAAATCAACAAAAGATTAATTTACCCCAGATTTCGTGCCGTATACGTGTAATCTACAACACTTGTTTAAACTGCTAAACTTAAAAGCAGTTTCGCAACGATAAAAAAATAACCGTTTTTCTGGGGGCACCGAATAATTCAAAACTTCAGCAAGTGATTATGAAGGTCCTAGGAAAGAACGCGGTGCTGGAGAAATTTCATTTCTGCTAAAAAAAAAAATGTTTCTTTCCCTTAGACTAGAACCAAGAATACATTTTCCTTCTTTTGATTAAATTTCATGAACACCACGTTCTTCCGTTGGACCTCTATAATCACGTGATGAAGTTTCAAATGATTCGGTGCACCCACTTCAGTGATAAGTTTTATAAATATTTTAATATTTTACACATGCGTATAGAATAACCCATTCATATCACTTTAAACTCGCGAAGTACGTATAAAAGATACGTGTCCCTTATTTTCCGATGTGATAAGTTTTATAAATATTTTAATATTTTACACATGCGTATAGAATAACCCATTCATATCACTGGTCTTCACTTCATATCACCCAACTCGCGAAGTACGTATAAAAGATACGTGTCCCTTATTTCCCGATGTACCGCAACACGCGTCGGAACCAACAAAATCGGGAGGGCACACCTCTGACACCTTCCCTATCAGTCGCAAATATACCCAATAAAACGATAACAGCGGCAATAAACGAGACGGCAAGGTCGGCCGTGGAAAGAGCTCTTTTCTTTCTCCGGTCTTTCAGGCACGCCAGAAGGGAAGAAGCGACCGAAGATAATGCACATCCGCGAAAGGTCGCCAGACAATTCCTCCGGGTGGACAATTAGTCCGCGCCCGGTGCTCGTCGAGACAATAAGCGGCTTCGGCTTAATACGTTAAAACCAAAGTCAAAGCCAATAACGGAGCTTCCTGGCCGAAACGCCGCCCGGTAAATTCGGCCATTGTCGCGATTCGACTCCAAACAGGACTCTCAGGTACACCCTGCGAGAAATGTCGGCCGCGAGGTAACGGCACGACAAAGACAAAGGACAAAGGCGAGCCGGCAAAGACAATGCGCCATTTTTCCCGGCTACTTCGACCCCCGGGTGGCCCAAGATTCAGGTGTAAAGTCCTTAAGGGAGCTTCCTTCATTGTGTGAGACAAGTCGGCCTGCGACTCGCCCTCCTTCCTTCGACGACACCCTACATGCCGCCATTTAGGTTCCTTTCCAGTCTTCCTCCCTCCTCGTAACGAAGAATGCCTTCGTTCGGCGTAAACGAGAAAACGTTTCATCGTTTGAACCCCAGAAAATTATTACCGTTTCGCTCGATGCTTTATTTTCAAATAAAGTCGCTTTTCCTTCACGCGCATGTTATACACCGCTTTAACCCCTTAACGCACAGATTTTTTTTAAAAAACCAGCCAAACAAAATCAATGTTTTTTATGAAAAAAAAAACCACTAGAACATTGTCTTGGCAAAAAAATAAAATTCTCGATTATATTCGAGGGTGAAAAATTATAGTAGCATAAAATACAACGCCGCTCGAATTATCTCGAGTGTGCACAGTTTGGCCTGTTTAGCGCGCTCGAATTAACCCTCTATGGGCCCGTGTAACTTTCAGATCACATTTTAAATGAAAAATTTTTTGTTCATTTGCATATATAGGTTCCTAATTGCTGATTTTTCGTTCCCCCAATTTTTTTTTATTTAATGAAAAATTCGGCCCATAGAGGGTTAACTCGAGCGCACAAGTTAAGGGGTTAACGTTCTATAACACCTTTTCTATAATATTTGCGAGTCGGCAAACACGATGCATCATTTTTGCTGACCTCTTCAACCCCCGTGAGGCTCAAAATTTAAGTGCACAGTCCTTAAAAGACCCTCTTTCATTGTGTGAGACAAGTCAGCCTGCGACTTGCCCTCCTTCCTTCGAAAACACCCTAACGTCCTGTTGTTTAGGTTCCTTCCCAGTGTTTCGCCCTCCTCGTGCCGAAGAATGCCTTCGTTCGGCGTAAACGAGAGAATATTTCATCGTTTGAACCCAGAAAATTCTGGCTTTACTATGTATGACTCGATGCTATATTTTCAAATAAAGTCGTTTTTCCTTCATACACATATTATATATAACGTTTTAACACTATTTCTACCAAAGGTGTCAAAAGACACCTTTTAAAATTTTAACTTGAAATTATTTTCAATGTTTAATAATTTTTTCTCAATTAACGTTTTGAGTTTTCGTATAATAATTGTTAAATTTATTTAGCGGTATCATTTTCCTCCAGCTCGTCAAAATCTTTTGATCGAAATAGGTATACACAAAATCGTGGTAGAAATAGTGTTAAGGGAACCTAAAGGAATCCTTTTCATTGTACGAAACATGCCGTCCTGCGACCTGCCCTCTTTCCTTCGAGGACACCCTACATGCCGCCGTTTAAATCCCTTTCCAGCTTTCTACCCCCTCGTACCTTAGAATCCCTTCATTCAACTTAAACAATAGAATATTTGAACTGAACCCCACTGAACCCAACTCCATTTCGACTGAACTGAACTGAACATTTGAACTGAACCCCACTGAACCTAACTCCATTTCGGTAAATCCAAAATGTACAGAAATTTGGATGAGCTGCATAGAGAGCAAAGTCGTCAAACGCGGGTCGACTCATCCAGGAAATTATTGCCGTTTTTCCTATTCAAGACTCGACGCTTTGTCTTCAAACAAAGGCGATTTTCCATTACATCCATTTCATACACCGTTTCAATATTCCACATCATGATTTTAAATATCAATTCCTGTTTTATTTAGACTAAATGCATTAAATTCTCCAAAATGTTATCGTCGTAATTGTTCCTTAAGACGCATTGTTTCCAAATAAACTCGTTTTCCATCCATTGTACATACCATTTAAACCCTATGCAGTCACGTGGCATTGAAAGGAAAACCCGCTTTATTCGATAACGAAGAGCGAGATCATAACCGGCAGAAAAATCTGCAACTTCCTGGGACCACCTACTAGAGATATACGAGCGTAAACCGAGGACAGTCTTAAGTCAGCGCATCGTGGATTTCGCTCCATACGTTTCACTCCATGCATTTTTGCCGGATCAACGAAAACGCATCCGGCCTCGCCGGATAGCCTCCAACGCGTCGTGTCCCGCATTAAAACGCCCAAAGCTCGTTTCCCTCGAATGGTCATCCGGTCCTGCCGCAGCATGCGGTGGACGCGACAAAAACGTACAGGGTGACACGTTCCACTCGAATACAGGCGTTTTCGCCGGTCCGCAAAATTGCATGGCGCGAACCTGGCCATACTCAGTAGGGATGCTCGATTCTCATCAAAGAATCGATTCTGAATCGGATCATGAAGAATCGATTCTCTGAAAAATCGGAATGCAAAGAATCGATTCGAAAAATCGGAATTTTTTTTATATATAATTTACACAAATTTAATTAATACATTTTTACATGTCGAAAGCTATCCATGAAGATGAAATGAATGTTGTATAAAAAGAAAAACTAAACAATTATTAGCCGTTTACATAGCAATTATACGTCTTCTCTAGCTTTCCCTTTGGCCGGTATTTCCAGCCGAGATGGTCGACGGAGTAAATGAGAGGTTCTGATTGGCTGTTGAAAGCAGGTAGTCACTTACGACGGAAGTGCGTCACGACGCTCAGTTTCAGTAGCCAATCTTGTCGTTATTGACAAACAGCAACCAATGAGCGGAACGAATTTCTCTCCTCTACCGTTTCAGTCAAAAAGAATCGGTTTCTCGATTCTGAGGGTAAAGAGTCGATTCCCAAGAAAATCGAATAGTAAAGAATCGAATCGGAATCGAACATCCCTAATACTCAGGCCGCGTTTAGCGTGCACGCAGCAGACGGGGCAAAGTTGAAGAAATACAGCTCCGTATTTGTATACATCTACGTATACAAGCCAGGCATTTGTTTCGTTAACCTTCTCATCGGGACCAGAAACTTGGACCGAAAAAGGCCGTGTCAATCGCGTTAACGCTTTATCTACCAACGAATTGGGAAGTAAACGAAGATCAGTGGGTGGACGAAGCGTTAAGAAAGGAAGAGAATCTCGGCGCTGCCCTTGGAGATGGGGTTGCTCGGGCGCACGGGTACTCACCAGACGACTCCGAAGGCCCCGTAGCCGATGGGCCGGTCGGGCTGCACGGAGTCCTGCGCGGGGGGCGGGACGTGGGCGCCGGAGGCGGACGGGGGCGGAGGCGGGTGGGNGGCAGCGGCGGCGGCGGCGGCCGCCGCGAGCGCCGCCTGGCCCGGGTGGGTCCCCGCGGCCCCCCCGCCGGCCCCGGCGCTAGGCCCGGCGGCCGCCACGGCGGCGCCCTGCATCAGCGGAATCGAGACGCTCATGGACACCCGCGAGTGCCGCGAGGGCCCCGCTACTGCCATCAAATCCTCCCTTCGAGCACGCCGGGCCGGCCAGCTCCCGCCGGGACTTCTCGCGCCGCGGCCGGGGAGCCGCCTAACCTAAAACTGCCCGCCGCGCCGGCCCCCGCCGATCACGAGCTCCGCATCCTCCTCTTCGATCGGCAGCGCGGCTGACTTCCGAGCCTCCTCGGGCGGCGCCACTGTCGCCCGTCACTCCCGCACCCGTCGCGACGCCGTCTGGCTCTCGCGTCGTCCGCTAGCCGGGGACGGAACGTCCGGGGCGCGAGCCGGAGCCGGGCCCGAGTCTCGGTCGGATCCGGACGAGTCGCGAGCTGTCGCGCGCGCACTGCCGCGGCCGCGGTAGGTCGGGTCGGCCGACGTTAGGTTAGGTTCACCTCGCGCGACGCACGCACCGCCGCGGCGGCCGAGAGCCCGCACCACTCGTCACGGGAATGCGGCCGGGAGCGACCGGACCGACGGAGAACCCTGCCACGCGCGCGCGGAGCCTGTCCCTCGGAGGAGCGATCTCGTCGCGGTACGCACGGCCGCCCTCGATCTCGCGCGTATGCCACTCGGGACGGGGAGGAGCGAGACGATCGAGAGCACGTCCACGCGCGGCTGGGGCTGCCTGGCCACTGCCTCGCCTGACTCGCCCGCTGACCGCCGCGCACAGCGCCGACCCCACAAAGGGAGTCACGTGACCTCTGCGCCGAGCTACTGCGCACGAGGGAGGGACGGAATCAAAGATGGCGCGCTACTTTGACTCGCGAAACTGCGGGAAAGGACTTTTCATTGGTTTACCCCTATTTTTGGCGTTGCGTTCCCGCGCGGGGATCGTTAGGAGAAATTCTTTCGAAAAATGATAAGGGTGTCGATGTTAAATCGTTGGACGGCATCCTGTCCACGTGGTACCGCTAATCGTAGCACGGCATCCAAAATCAAACTGTTAAAACAGCACCCGTTTTCCTCCGATATTTGAAGAATAGAAATTCTATTCTTACGATCACGTTATATAGAAAAATTGAAGGAGAATTTTGTTGGCAAGATCTCGAAACGTGAACGGGATCTCGGAAACGCTGGCGGGAAAAATTCGCTTTTTAAAAATACTCAAACAAATGGCATAGATATATGTTAAACCGATCGGTCCAAAGAATTAAGATATTTATTTTTGCCCTATGAGTACCTGTTGGGATCGACTACTTTATCGAAAAGAAATTCTGTTTAATTTTTCAGTCGACATCGATAGTGCCACGAGCGCGACGACCCGTAAAACAACGAATGCAAATAATATGCATTCGTTTGCATCTTGCTTCTGAGTTGGATGGAATCCATCAATCACTGTAGAAGTACGATATAATCGCCTATGTTGAATTTCTAGAATCACCCTGTCCCCCGTCGATCGAAATTAAGTCAAAACGAGAAGAGTACAAAAATAGAATTTTCGAAATTGTACATACAACTTTTTTCCTCCATTGCTCGACTCTTGAAACTGTCACTCTTACAAAATGTTATAGCTTCCGTGCTCTTTTGCACATTTTAATAACTTTATTTAAACGCAAGATAAATACCATAAGAATTCGCAAGGAGGTCGGCAGAGACAAATTTGAAACACTAATGATCATGTATATTTTGCCTCCAGTCATGGAACCATTATTTCCCAAGACTGTCCACTTGTACAGTGACTCGTTGGAATGTTTTTCCGTGTACAATGTTCACTCTTATAAAATGTTATAGCTTCCGTGCTCCTTTGCACATTCTCATAATTTTATTTCAACGCAAGATAAATACCATAAGGATTCGCAAAGAGGTCGGCAGAGACAATTTGAAACACTAATAATCGTATATACTCTGCCTCCAGTCATGAAACCATTATTTCGCAAGACTGTCCATTCGTTTATTGACTCGTTGGAAAGTTTTTCCGTGTACAATTTTCGCGTTGAATGCTTGCCAGATAAAACGGACGAATCATTTAGTAAGCTAGAAAATTATTTCACTGTTACATTCAGTTATAATAACCGGACGCGATGATTTGTTCCACTCATATGGAAATTTTGCAGTCGATGATTTCTTAGAATTTCCAAATATTCTTCCACCATTCCTAAGATGTATGAATAACGTTAAGTAGTATCTTTCCTGTATACAGTTATTGTAACGAGATAAGTGGAGACGGGAATGATATATCAGGGTATTAATAAAAACAAGAGAAAACGATATTTTACTCAAATATTTACATAATTATTACGAGTGGTTTCCATAATTGGGTATTAAATCAATCGATTTTATCCTCTCGTATTTCGCCTATTTGTCTTTGTATCTTTCTTCTTGCCTTCCCGCGTGGATCTACGTACACAATGTTGTCGCGTCAACAATTTACACATGTAACATTATAAAACGTTATTAAGGGTTTACGGTACACGCAAGGAATTTACATAATGGTCCGCCGTGATTGTACGAAATCGTTAGAGAAAATCAAATCGTCCTTATGTTTAAATGAATCCTGTTAAAACTGTACGATACAATGTAATGAAGCCTTACAATAAGTGTAAACAGACGTTCAAGGACAGTTTTGATACATAACGAAGTAAATAGCAATTAATCGTTACATGAAATCGAGTTTGAGGTGACCCTTCAGAATACATATCGCAAACGAGACACATGATAACTAGATGGGAAATATATGAACCGAAACACGTTGTACCTTATCATTCGTCTACAAAATGTTAACGCATTCGCGGCCGGCAAATTTTTTTCCGTTTCAAATACTGAGTACCGGCGAAAATAATGAAATTCTGAAACTGGTTGCCGCAAACTTGTATCGTGTATCGTCATGGACGTGATTCACGTCAGCGGTATTCAGGAATAGAATTTAAAATGACGTGAATTCACGTCAGCGGCAACCAGGAATAGAACTTGAAAAGACGTGAATTCACGTCAGCGGTCGCGAATGTGTTAATAAGTTACGTTACCCGAAAAAAATGTATATTTTACATAATTCCAGACCATTCGTGGAAAATGAATATACCATACGTGCCGAACAAAATTACTGAAAATTGTTAGGCACAAAACTTAACAAATTCTGAAATGATTTTCTTTCAAGAGATGCAGCACACGTAAAATGCCACTTGCATCGTGTTCAATAGACTTAACGAATAAAGTGAAAAACCTCGTACTTCGTACGTGACTGATGAATATTAGCATTAAACGATATTTTGAAATGGATGATTACACATTGCTTGTTTTCCTCTTTACGTTACCGCTCTCGTGAAACACGGTTCCAACATAGAAACTTCATTTCCGGGACTCGTATCATTTATCACGAATGGTTCGAAAATTTCGTCCCACGGAATAGGAACCGAATTGTTACTGCCATACGGTCAGAATTCTTAAAAGAGCTGATAACGATCGCCCCTTCCTCTCGAAAATCTATTTGTCTGAATAAAGGGTTGGCCTAAGGCCGTTCATCGGTTCATACAAAGCGGGGGTTGTGAACAAGCTTCGAACAATGATTCCAAAACAGGGTGGCCATGGCCGAGCGAGGCCACGGCAACCCCAATACTCTGCTAGAGTAACGAGATTAATTCGACAAATTGAAAGCCATTTACACGCGATGAAGGGCCAATTATATACCACGTTACAGCGGCATCGATAACACCGCCGAACAAAATCTTCCCTGGAGTGAAAAACTAATTCCGGCACGTGAGAAATTCGAAATATTCCCCAGCAACTCGAGATTTCAATTGCACTTTATCAACTCCAGGATGTCTTCATATTTCGAGAACCCCGGAATCCTTAGAATCCATCTTTGAACCATCTTTTTCTTACGTATCCTGGGACGTAAGGTCCTCAAAAGTCAAAACGCAGCAATTATATGAAAATGTATTACAAATTATAAATATGAGGGCGATTCGATTTTCTCGCGTGAAAGTGGACATTTAGTGGTATCCTTAGAATCCATCTTTGAACTATCTTTTTCATACGTATCCTGGGACGTAAGGTCCTCAGAAGTCAAAACGCAGTAATTATATGAAAATGTATTACAAATTATAAATATAAGGGCGATTCGATTTTCTCCCGTGAAAGTGGACATTTCTCAAGTTCCGTCGTGACAAATCTCGTATCGTCGAATGATAAGGACGAAACGTGAATGCCACTCCAACGGCACAAGGCCTCGCAACTCTGAACATGTAGGAAAATATTATTTTCAATGTTCCATTTTCCATACGCTACAGCTATGAAAGTATATACGCGTGTTGATAATTTATTAAGCCGATCGGCCTTTTCGCATCTTTGGTCTAATACCGAATCTTCGGAAAATCGTTTGCAGGTGATATCAATCGACCAAATGTATCATGTACGTCCCAATCCTTACGACTCATACGCACTTGACCATTAATATCTTTGGAAATACCCGAGGTGGACGACAAACCTCCCGGTGTTAATAAAAAGATGATTACCCAAAAACTAAGAACGATACCGATATGTACTTTGAACCTTCACGAGATTTCAATCAAGCGCTTGCATTTATGTATTTGGTGCGAAACTCTGCCGAGTTTCTTCATCCAATCAGTACTAAAAAAGAGATCACTGAATTCGTGTTAAAGTAAAAACAACGCACCTAATTAAAAGAATATAATATTAAAGGGCGTACCTTTTAACATTATAAACACGAATTCGGAAAAAAGATACGCCTAAACTATAAGACACAGGACATTATGCATAACTCCTAAACAATTGGTGTTGTAGAGTCTTTAAAAGCATTTCTGAGGAAACCTTTCGGTTGATAAACACCTCTCTCGTGGAATCTTCATCATCATCAACAATGTTAAGAATCAAATAATTATGCACGACTTGTAAAATTAAACCATTCATCATCAAACGCTGATTCTGGCATCGAGATACAAACCTAACGATCTTTTTTTCTTAAAATTAAAATGTTACTGTCTTTCTAAAAACGTCTCTAGGCTCAGAACTGTGCGCTTTCCCTGATTAGCATAATGAAATAATGAACCTTGTATATCGCTGGTAAATGAGTATGGTTCAATTAAGTTCAAACGTTTTAAGTATTCCGACGTTACGTTCAACATTTTCAAATTGTCGACACAACGGGAAATGGTTACTTACCGAAATGAATAACGACGGGACCATATAATAAATTGAATATACAGGAACATTCAGCAGAAACAGTTGAGGGTAAAGGAATTAACCACATACTGGAATCATTTCTCCAACGGATAGTTTTAAACGGTAGACCCTTTTTTTACCTGGGTAATGGTAGATCCTTTTTACGATGCTTTAAAAATATCGCACTTGTCCTTTTCAAAGACCTCGACGTCGAATACCCACGGGAACACTACGATAGTTTCTACAAAACACGCTCGCTATATATATATATATCTTTCCATATATATATATATATATATTCAAATTATTTGTGTAAATTTTGTAAACTATACAAGATCACATTATACCGGCTCAAAATTGCACATAAAGTAAAGTCAATGGTCACTCTTTTCTTTTTACAAGTTGTCCATAATGTAGCGGTGGTCTGTATTGTCGGAATTACGAGAGCTCGAATCCTGTGTTACTCGTCACGGCGTAACGCAGCTTCTCCCGTAGAGTGCTTTTCTTCTGATAATTCGGCAATTTCAACAGATTAAAGCACGTCGAAGAGGTCGGCAACCTGTTCTGGGGATCTTTCTTTCGGATTGTGAAAAATCCTCTTATCACACTGCCTAGTGCCAAAATACAAAGATAAAGTAGTTAATTCGTTAAAAAATCATCTTTAACCCTTCCGGCCCGATTTACCATAACATAAAAAGATAATCAATGAATCGAAAATCTAAATCCTTCTTGATAAAATTAAGTTGGAGTTCTGTCTTTTATTAAGAGGTTTGAGTAAGTTGGAGGCGATTTACCTTTACTGTACAGTTAAACTTCCGCATTCTATATCCACTATTCACGTATTCAATTGCAGTAATATACAAATGTAAGGAAACGAGAATTTATTCCAATGCCTGGACCAAATGGATCAAAGATTTGGATAAGTTACTTTGTCTTTTCTTACCGATTGTATCGCCTGTATCCTCGTCATCGCCCACCTCGACACATCTTATCGAAAATGGAGGTTCCAGGTGAGCAAAGCCAAGCAGAGGAGACTTCGAACAGCTTGTAACAAACTAAAAAGATACTTGTAAAATTCGGTCCGTACAAACCTAAGACTGAGACTAGAGATATACCTTGAGAAATAAGCCCCGCTCGTCCTCGGAAAAGTCTTTCTCCAAAATATCCCACAACCAGCACACGACTCGATGGCTGTCGTGAAATCCACCATAATATTGCGTGTGCTTCCGCAAGTCTCGGAGATCCAAAGGGACATTGTCGCCGGAAATTAATCTTTGCAACTGTAATTATAAATGTAGATGTAAGTATACGAGTACTTCCAAATATTTCGCACGATAGTTTTTTTAGAGATGTAGATCACGTGATAACTTGGGACGTATTGATATGTATACAACTCGGTACTGAAGTGCATGATTTATGACCTGCGTATGAAATAAAGTAGCAACTAGTAACTGATCTTAAGCTTACCTCCGGCGTTGAAAAGAGTGATAACCAATCAGGATTGATGATAGAGCGGAACCCTTTAATAAAAGCTGCCGTTTGATCCTTGATTTGTGTATGCATCCTGAAGTGCGCCATTAAGTGAATATAGTTGATTTTATTTTGATTCGTTACTGGCACTGCCCGTCCACCAGGAATCAGTTCGTGGGTAACCAATTTCCCCAGAACATCTTCGTCTAGAGAAAACGTCAGTTCTAGTTGCCTGACGTCACCCTTGTAATGTTTAACGAGGGCTAAACTACGATATAAATCCCGGTCTAGAGAAGCCAACTCATCGAGCCAACTGTATAGAGCGCCACCACCTTGTCCCGAAAATTGAGACACGAAGAAGGAAGCAAATGGAACATCTACGACAATTCCCTAGAAATAATGGAAATATAGAGACACATAATTGTTTGTTATATCTAATTATGTTTTTCGTAATCTAATCACAGGAAGAATATTTCCTTTAACGGTAACATACCTCGTATACTGCTTTACCCAACATTCGACCGACAAACTCAAAGAGTTGCAAATGATTGTCTTGCATAGCCGAAGTCGGAGAAGGATACAGTCTGTTCTCCCCGGTAGCTCGAAAGAGATTCAAAGAGGGATCGAAAACTCTTTTAATGGTCTCTTCTAGGAACTCTTTGAATACTCCGTCTTGGTCAATGCCAGCCTCGTCTAGTCCTTGTTCATTTACGAACCGTACTCTGATTACGCCTTTTAAAGCCTGAGAAGGCAACATTGCTAGTTGTCTGTATCCATCTTCAACTATTCTTGACCTGAACACAAATGTATTAAATTAGATGTATTGTATATAACTACGAAAGAGAAAAAGATCAGAGTGATATAATTTGATTAAAATAAATGAAGAAATAATTCACTTTTTACGAAACAAATTTAAAAAATTGTTAAACCTGTGAACTGCGATTAAAGTAGATGGAGGACTATTGCAGGCACTTTCTGTAAGACCCATAACTGCTTTCTCGTCGGCTACGTGTTTTCTGAAGAGAACAACTCGTTCAGAATGTGGAATGACATGAGGCATTTTGGAAAGCAGAAGAGCTGGTCCTCGCCTTCCTTTTTCTAAATCTGCCAAGAAGCCGGATACTTTGACTTCCTGAATAAGATAGATGTATTAAAATCACGGTTCAGACATGTTACATAATTATATGTATATCAAGAAACTCGTTCCATTTTATAGGCAGTAATTTATTACAAAAATGTAAGAAGTTCTTACTTTAGCCAACCAATGGCCTTCAGGACAAAACGACCTTCTGCAATCACGTCGATAAATCGCCATCAAAAGAGTGTGTAGGGATGTGAACAGTGGATTACTAGACACTGATTTCACGTCTGTAACATCTAGAACTTCAGTACATAGCTACAAATATCTAATACTCGTGAAGAACGACGTGACCGAATGGTACCCAAGAGGATTTCATGTAAAAGTCGATCCATTATTACTTACCGAATAAATTACTAAGCACAGCCTTATAAAGAAATTGATTTAAAAAGTAAGACATCGTAATAAAATCCGCCAACCGGAATGGATCTTGTTGCTCATACATCTCCATGTCATCCAAAATACTGTCAAATAAAATGTAAATATATTATTTAGTTTAATTGCATCCTTTTAGGTTGGCTCCCGGGTACAAATAGCAACAAATTTTGTTCAAACGTATTCATTATAAAATATACTTACGTCACATAATGCGTCATACAGTCGCAAAATAATATTAACATTTGAAATTCAGGGGCTGTGCACTTTGTATTTGCAGCAAGATGATCAAGAAATGCCTTCAATCCACAATATGGCCCCAGTGTGCATAGAAACAACCACATGTGGTATAAAATCTTGTCCTGATAGCACAATCCTGTTAATCATTATTTTATCATCATTCAGGATATATTTTCTAAATACTGTGTTATTCATTTATTTTTACGCATTTATATTTCAATGAAGAAACAACAAAGGTATAAAGAAAAATGTAAATAATTTATTACCTGTTAAGATATCCAGTTTCATGTGCGTCAAAGTGTGTAAAGCAGTTTGGTATAAAGAACAAATCATAGCTATTCTAGTAGTTTCAGGACTTCCTAATTTTCGATAGTTCTTGTTGCTATTATTACGATTCGTACGTACTTCTAAAAAAGCACGCCGAAAAAAATTTGTGCCCATTGATGTGCTCTGATGTTCCGATTGCACCGGTATCTCTTTCTCAACAAGTTCGGTTAATGGTTGTCCTACAGAAGAGTCATGTATATTTATTATTAATAAAATAATCAATGCATACGGACAATATCAAACTAACCAATTAATTGCGACACAATCTTTCCTGTCCATAGACATGACAGCTGGATTTTGACATATGGGATCGTCTCCTGGAGTGATGTATCGACAGTTTGCTCAAACCAGCCAAGTACTGGATGCCAATGTGTCAAATTGCTTTGTCTAGCCACGACATATTCTTGGCAGGCTTCTAACATTTTTGTTACTACAAACTGCACGGAAAGTCAATTTAATGAATACATAAACTAGAACACAGATACATAAAAATAAATTTAAAACTCACTGTGAACGAGGGAAAGTACAAGTCTCTCAGTACGTCATCTTTTTCAATATTAGCCAACTGGATAAGGTTGGCTAATAAGCATAGTGCGTACCTTCCCTTAAGAGCATTGAATACTATTCTCAAGTTCTGTTCAGAATTCAGTAATTCCAAGCTCCTGGCGTATAAGTTGTGCACGCTGAATAAAGAGTTGCACTACAAAAAATAACAGACATTCTTTATAATTTTTGTCTTAAAATTAAATTCAATAAATCACAAGAAAAATCAATACTATATCTTTCTTACCTCAGGGGACACTAGATTTAAATGGTAAACCAAGGCAGGTACGCTTAATACATTGATTAAAAATAATGACACTAATTTATCAGACATTTGTGAAGAAACAAGAGGTCTCACTGTTAGCGTTACTGCTGCTGATAAAGCGACAGGTTTTAACGCAATTGTTTCTCGACCCAATCCTTTAACTAAAAGCACCTAAACAGCACAAATGAAGTAGTATGAGTATTTAAGAAGTCCAGTTTATCGTATAAAAGTTAAATTAAAACATGTTATAAAACCTGTATGATTGGATAGAACCCATTGTTGACTAGATGCCCCATAATATTTGCACAAAGCTGGTTCATTCCAGCTTTGAGTTTTCCCATGCCTTTCACTCTTTGAATTGCCCATGTTCCAGCAGAAGTGAAGCTGACCAAAGTGTGCAATCTCAAAAGAATAGATTTATGATCTCCCAGTCTTTCAGGTCGAAGGTTATCCAGGCTTACTAGACAATGATGTAGAATAGACTTCATCTGCGCTATCCACAAGATGTAGTAGTCCTTGTTCAGAGCAAGACTAACATATGAGAGTTTGGGAGATTCCGATTCTAGTGTTCGAACGAGATATCTGTAAATGTTCAATTATAAAATCTTAATCGCAAATGTAATTGAAAATGACAGAACTCCGTAATATAATAATTCATATCATAACATAATTTATTTATATTTTCAGTAACGATATTAATGCAGAAAACAAATATTTAGATGTCTTTATAAATTTGTATAGTAATACAACTTGTTTTCTTTTTTAAGCAAATCACATAAATCATCAAACTACTAAAGGTATAATAATGACAAAGAGATTTCAATACGTATGACATCAATAAAAATCATGTTATCTATCATTATTCATTGAAATTATTTTATTATCCATGTTTTAATCTTTTATGTAATTCAATTACCTGCATAACTTTTCCAATCTCTCCTGATCCCTTTCTTTCTTATAAACGATTAAAAATCTAGAGGTCACTCTGTACACATACAAAGCTGACTTCAATTCGCAGCCCTTATTGCCACTATCTTCGGGAATGTTGTTATCAAATTCATCCCTATAATAAACAAATGTTATATTACTTATTGCGATTTATTGTCAAACCAGCAATCGACTCAATCCATCCTAAACTTTCAATTTTTTTAATTCATTTGTAGCATCACTCACACTGAAAACACTTTAACATGCACGACAACTGTAAACATAAACAAGAGGATCGATTGCCGACAATCACCTGGAATAACGTTATCGACCAGCAATATGCTATTGATGTAAAACTCCAAAACTACACTTACAAGATACTTTTGGTGAATTTGATTCTAGCAAGCCATCCCCTGATATTAGCTTGAATGCGTATTACCGCTCCTTCCCTGCGTTGCTCGTTGGCGCGCTCCTCCCTTGCGGCTTTGGTTTGCTGCAAGAAACTGTCCTTCGAAGATTCTTCTGCTTTAAACATTATTGGATGAGTGCAAGTACCAGCTAAGTACTAAATCATGCTAATTGTAAAGATTATCAGCTGGTCATTCGTTGGTAAATACAGTGGCCTCGGTAGTTCTACGAGACCATTGCCCGCTGCCATTAGGTTGGACTGTCCAAATGAAACTCCTTACTGTCCTCGTTCGACGGCGAAGGAGATTAGGCCCTGATCGAACGCCGTTAGCTGCCATTCGCCATAAGCCTACTAACAGTTATCGTCAAATTAAACTAGCGAATAAATCGCTCTGACAGCCAACTCCGACGGCCATTGTTATTAATTCGATTCGAGGCCTGATTACGAGACAAAGGGAGATAGGTTAGGTAAAGTAACACGTGACTGGTAGCGCCACCGATCGAGCCCGACGGTTCCATCTCGCGATATTTAAAGAAACTACTTATCAAACCTTCCGTTGATGCACCTAAGCCCTGGGCGTTTATTACGTATTTTTGACGAGACCGCTCACTTCTCGCACATTCATCTCACGTGGGTTTATTCGCCCAATTACGTATTCGCTATATGAAACAGCGAGATCACTAGCACTTTTGGTCTAGTAATATTGCCAAAATAAAGGTATATACCTTGTAAATCGAAAATTGTTGAGAGGTGTGTTACAGGCAGGAAAAGCGGGAAGATCAAAATCCGTTAAAAGTAAAGAAGAGGACTTGAGTCTATTCATATTTTTTAAATATGTATTGCATTCATATTTACATATACTATAATTAGAAGTTCAACAATATAATTTTAATCATGTCATGTAAGCATGAATTATTCAACAGTTTTCAATGTTTAATAATGTAATATAATCTCGCAATAACAAAAACTAAAATGTACATCTTAGTAAATTCTCTTTCTTCTCACGATAATGGGTCGATGGCCTAGAGTCGGCAATCATTGCTAAGGAATGCCCAAATTCCTCGCGAGAAACTCGAAAATCCTGAAAAAGGTGCTCCACGGGGACAACGATTTTGAGCGTATTTCTCAACCGATCCAGCTCAACGAGTGCTCGTTTTAAAGATAAAATGTTGACGTTTGTTTATATGGGAGCGATTTTCGATCAAGCACCTCCTTCCTAGGTAAAAGGGCATTGAAATTATGTCGCTGCACTTTTTTATATGAAAATGACCACTTATCGAAAATCCTCCACTCCTATATAAACACAGGTCAACATTTCATCTTCAATATGAGTACTCGTTAAGTTCGATCGGTTTAGAAATACGTTCGGAATCGTTGTCCCCGTGAGGTCCTGCAAAATCGCTAGAATGGTGAGCGCCCTTAACCTACCCCCTCTCCTACTATAGTCTCTCCCTGTCTATAAGCTCTATGGGTATTTGAAATGACGCCATTTGCCGCCGCCAGCGCAAAATGAATTTGTCTCTCTCATACACATGTATTTAGGTTATACGGATTTCTCTATCGTTTCCCCACCACCTTCCACGGATTTTCTGAAATAAGATCTGGCAGCACTGGTCAGCGACCGTCAGTCGGATTGTCAGATTTTGGCGGATTCAATTGAACCGAACGGTTTTTTGTACAGTATTAAAAGGTCGAGTTGTGATCATTGTTGTTTTATTCAACACACACGAGAAATGGACGAAAACGAACCAAGAAACAAAAATCAAATCATGGAAACGCCAAAGATCAATTACATAGATATGACTTTGTTAAATACTCCGAGACCACAAGCTTCGTCCACGGTTGAACGGAAAAGCATGTAAGATTTGAACTTTTTTTCAGATCTGCGGTTTCGATAAGATTTGAGATTACAGTCCTAGTTGGAAAAAATCGGATACCGTTTAAAAAACAAACTTCAAACGTACATGTAATTTAAGTTCTGTGATGGGATTTTTTTAGTTAATTTTATTAAAGAAAAATTTCACTTATAAACAAAAAATCTCGTATAATATATTCCCATAATTTATTTTTCAGATTAGCAGCACGCATGCCTGATAAACATTCAAAGGATATTAGATATAAGCGACCACTTTTAAGCACTGAGATGAGGTTTTCCGAAGACTCATCATTGGGAATTATTGAAAATATTTCTTCTCGTTAGTACAATTCAATAATTTGATACCATATATCATCTTGTTAAACTTGACATACGTAATCATTGTGCATTTTATAGTGCTCGATGATACCAGAGAGTCGACTGAAAGTTCAGGACTGAAAAGTACAATTGACACGGAAAGAGAGCTTGCCCGGAAAATACTTCAAAGGTGCAGTGAACAAAAAGCATATGCCAATATTGGTATGTACAGAAATATCTGAAGTTCTCTTAACTCTTTATTACATTTCCTAAATCTTTCAGAAATCGACAAAGAAGATCTGAATCAACAAAATCTATCAAATGATAATACTCCATCAACTTTAATGAGTTCTGGTCATACACTTCTCGGTCAAACTTTTTCTTCTAGTCTCAGCAATTTTCAAAGTTCACCCACAAAAGATGTAGCTACGTCAAATGACAATAATCCTGCTCCTGCTGTTCAGTTGAGTACTGCTGGGGTAAGTTTAAAATGTAGCAAAGTACAATGAGATTATTTGATCACATCAATTATTAATAATTAAAATAATATTTTAGATTAGCTTTGAGCCAATCGAAATAAATGGACGCTCATCGATATCGAGTAAAGGTTCGGAACAACTAGGAATTACAGCAAGTTCCACCGAAGGAATAAGTTTCAACACAGTTAATGCAGAAATCATGGCTCAATTTGCTAATGAAGAATTTCAGCCTGGCTCTCAGGCAGCTAGTCTTTTATTGGCTGATGAAGCTTTGTGGCAGCAAAATCACCCATATGCTTTGCCGGTTGCAACCAGCTCAGAAAAAGAGTATTTAAATTTGTCAGGTTTTTCTGGGATTATCGGAGAAACAGATTTAACGATAGAGTTAGTACATTTTAATCCTCTCATCGATACGAACTACTTGCATTTTTAATGTATTACTTGATTATACTCAGATCCTGTATGGGTCGAAAAGTGTCTGTTGGTGAATTCTTCCGAAGAAAGTGCGACAAATTAGGAGACATATCAGCAGCAGAAACGGTAGACAGACCAAGTTTTGGTTTTTCAGTTTCTAGCCCAAAAAAGGATGGACATTTGATACCACTGGTTGATCAAACACTGTCGACAGAAAGTAAGTCCTACATCTGTCATTATGTTCAGGACTTTTGGTTTTTAATTTAATGATTCATTTCAGCAACTTCAGTTTGTAATGAAAAGAATACCCACCTTCCAGTAGATATTACTAGCACAGTGGCTGGGAAGACTAGTTTAATGAGTATGAACAACATTGCACAGACTCCGCAAGATATGGAAAAAATTATATCATTGTACAAAGGTGAAAAAGAAAAAAAGGATCTACAAAATTCAGTCAATTTCATACAGGAACAAAGCATGAGTCTCAGTAGTATTGCTCAGGCAATTCAAGACATGGGTGATTGCACGCCACGTCGACTAGTCGATCAGTTGATTATGGCTCGAAAGATTAAGAAAATTCCAGATATACGAGTGTCAAATACAAATAGAGATACATTCTCACGGGCTTCCGAACCATTACCAATTAATAGAACCATGTCCATTATGCCAAATCTGCACCTCAAGAATTTAGGTACACAATGTTAATTCAATTATTCTCCAGGAATCATCTGATTTCGTAATAATTAATTGAAACATCTTTTTTAGATTTCACAAGTACTGAATGTGAAAAAGGGGCTGTTTGTTCATCGAGCATAAATTATGGTGAACAACAAATATCATCCATTCAGTTGCCTCTTCCGAAACAAAGTTTGGAACCCATTGATGCTACTCATCGAATATCTGACAAAGACATATCACGAGAAAGCGGTTTATCTGTAACTAAGAAAGATGACATCCCAGCGAGCAGTACTCAATTGGAATTTAGTACCAGCACCGATGTTTCAATTTCTGAAAACCAAGCACGTCCATCTAGTAAGGGTTCATTTAAATCGATTTTTAATCTCATTTCAACAAGTTCATTCGTAACAAAATTTTAGAAAATGTAGTTGTCGCCCGAAATTTGCAAGAAGTATGCATCTGCGTAATTGGTGTTCCGAGAGAATCTGACTTGGAAATATTAAATCAAGGAGATCGATGGATAACATGTACTCTGAGCCTACACCGAATTCAAGGGGAGAAAGAGTGTATTGAACTGGAATTACCACAAGAAAAGATTTTGATTAAGCCTGATTCGTGGAAGTCTGTTAAGGTAGAATGAAATTTAAAGCAATATAAAAACTGTACCTGACAATTCTAGTTATATAATTTTATTCCTAAAACGAAATAATTCTAGGTGGGCGTTAAAATATCGGAAATGGTGAAACCAATAATCGCTGTGATAAACATGTTGCTTTCGGACATGGTAACTCGGTCTAAATGGACTACACAACACGTAATTTGCTTTGTTCCGGAAGAACCACATATTGGAGTATCGCTACACTCTGAAAAAAATGAACTAGATTTTCAGTATATAGCAGAGAATTCTACCAAGACGATGCCAATCACATTGGAAAATAAAAACAGCGTGGACATTCCTATAAAAGTGGACATTATAAATGTGAGCTATTTCTTATTTTCTTTTTAAATTAATTTATAGGTTACAAAATTTATGAACATATAATTTCATTTTTCGCAAGGATGGCCCGAAGGTTTTCAGTATTGACAAATCATTAAATGAAACCATACTTGCCAATGACCCTCACGATGGTATTCAATATTTATCTCTAGAGCCTCGACAACAGTTTACAGCAAACGTGCAATTCAAAGCACCTTTTCTCGCAAGTTTAGATAGTAAGTCATAATATATTTTTACTTTGAAATTAATTGAAAAAATTAAGTATACTCATTTCTAAAACCTTGTATGGCAGATACGACAGAGAAAGAAGTGCGCCGTGTCACTGGCAAGTTAATCGTACAAATTCACACGGAATCAAATAATGGACAAATAATTAAAGAAGTGCCTTTAGTGGGCTTTATTGGAGCCTGTAAAATTGAGACTATTGATACTCGACTGCCTCTTACTATACCTCGAAAGCAAAGTAAACCTCTGAATCTTCTTAACTCTGGGACCGTGGCTGCTATGATAACAGCATACGTGGTAAATAGCACCGAATCATCAAAATCCAATCAAAACTTTGCTGTGAAACCAGACAGCTTGTTACTTCAAGGAGGTGCAAGGGCTGCTCTTTCGGTGACATATAAACCTTGCAGTGAAGATTCGTCAGAAAGGTTAGTGATACAATTATCATTATTTTAAAGAAATACTATTTTTACACTTTTTGGTTATCAGGTCTGCTATGGTAAAAGTGATAGCAGAAGGGAACACATACTTTTTCCCTGTTATCGGAGAACATCCATTAGACCAATTACCTGAGAATTTACCTCGCTGTGATACGCCACAGTCTGGAGGGCTACTAAGCTCTCCAGCTTCCCCACATGCTTCAACTTCCTGCAGGTACCTTAAAATACATACCGTCTACTATTCATTTCATTACTAATAACCATTTTAATAAAAATTATGTACACACTAAGTTATGGTTGACAAGCATTTGATTCTAATTCGATGCAGGTCAGGAAATTCTGGAAGAAACTCTCCAGGATACTCGGTATCTGGAACTTCGGTAACAGGAGACGTAGTTCCAATTCAAGCAACTCACGCTGCATTGGTTTGGAGTAGTGTTAAAATAGGAAAACCTGACACAAAGGAGATCACAATACGTAATACTAGCACGTATAAAGTGAAAATTCACGCAAGCATTGCCAGTAAAGATAAAAACTTTAAGGTATGTTTAAACAAATTAATGTAGCTAATATAAGTATATGTTTATACATATGAGATTAAAGGACCACATTCTTCCGTGTGGTTTAGTTTCTGAAGGAACGACAAACTTTTGGCAGTAGCATGATCCTGTCACTACAAGGTTTGGAAAGTAGAACGCTCTCTATTGTGTTTGTACCAAATAGTACAGGCGCTGCAGCTGGAAAAATTATCTTTTCGCACTATGAGCATAAGAAAGCTAAGGAAGAATCTAAAGTAACAAAAGTTGTACGTGTCATATTTACAAAAATCTTTTCAAGAGTACATTCTCATTTAATTGATTTTTTATGGTTCCCGACTCAGATATACCTTTATGGTTATGGCGGTACAGCAAACATTGAGATTACAGAAACATTTAAAGACATGGGAGGACAAATGTGGCTATCCCTTGGCAATCTTAATTCGGGTGGATCTTTGGAAGCCAGAATCAAACTAAAAAACACTGGCAATCTTAAGGCTTACGCAAAAGTTGCCCTAACTCCAAAAGGTTAGATCAATGATAAATGCTTTCGAATTTAACAGAATTTGACATTGTAAATTGTTTGCAGCTATCTATCCATCGGTGGTCTCTAGTTGGCATGTAGATCCTGTGGAACGAATTTTGGATCCCGGAGAAACCTACAGGATCAACTTACAGTTTCATCCAAGAGGTGAAGATCTGGCACAATTACGTCGCACCAGTATCTCCAGGGTAGGAACGCTGACCATCACTTATGGTGATGAACCAACACGTTTAAGAATTCGCAGGTTCAAATTCTTAATCTTACAAAAAGACTTTCTAACCTACTGATTATGTCTAAATATCAGATGAAACATCGAGCCAATTTTATTTTAGATTATACAATAAGTTAAAAAGAACTGGTCAAATGAGTGGTAAGCAGAATGATCCATTCCGTAATGTCATCTATCCCATATGCAAGGCTTTTCCCGAAGAAACAGCGGTTGAAGATTTGAATATCATTAATGATACAGAGGTAAATACAATGTAATTTAAGTATGTTTATACAGTCTACAAAAGTTTAATTATTAAATTTACTTTAGCAAAATCTTGGAGACCTCTGTCGAGGTGTACACCAGCATGAGGTGGGTCTAACAATAGAAATCAATGCCGATGAAACAGCATCAATTCTGCATGACAATGCAGATGAATCTCAAATGTTTTATTCCCTCTGCAGTGACAATAGTAACATATTCACAGGAACGGGTGAAAGCTTTATGCCTTCTGAGTAAGTTATTTGTTAATGTACATTTTTTTGAGTATGCATATAGATCATCTATAAAATGACATAAATAATTTACTTTTACTTTGTAAGTACCCTCTCGGAGAACACAGAGAATGCTGTTGCACAAGATGAATATGAAGATGATCTCAAAGTTGTCCCACACGTAATCACTCTATCACCACCTTACAGAAGTGAAGCTACAGTAACGATATCAAGTTCATGTTCTGTAGCACAGCCCTTTGAAACTTCTATGACAAACACTGAGTACTTAAATGTTATTCCTACCGAAGGAATGATTCCTACACGAAAACGCTTTTCTCTGAGAANGTTGGCATGTAGACCCTGAGGAACGAATTCTGGATCCCGGAGGAACCTACTGGATCAACTTACAGTTTCATCCAAGAGGCGAAGACCTGGCACAATTACGTCGCACCAGTATCTCCAGAGTAGGAACGCTGACCATCACTTACGGTGATGAACCAACACGTTTAAGAATTCGCAGGTTCAAATTCTTAATCTTACAAAAAGACTTTCTAACCTACTGATTATGTCTAAATATCAGATGAAACATCGAGCCAATTTTATTTTAGATTATACAATAAATTAAAAAGAACTGGCCAAATGAGTAGTAAGCAGAATGATCCATTCCGTAATGTCATCTATCCCATATGCAAGGCTTTTCCCGAAGAAACAGCGGTTGAAGATTTGAATATCATTAACGATACAGAGGTAAATACAATGTAATTTAAGTATGTTTATACAGTCTACAAAAGTTTAATTATTACATTTACTTTAGCAAAATCTTGGCGACCTCTGTCGAGGTGTATACCAGCATGAGGTGGGTCTAACGATAGAAATCAATGCCGATGAAACAGCATCAATTCTGCATGACAATGCAGATGAATCTCAAATGTTTTATTCCCTCTGCAGTGACAATAGTAACATATTCACAGGAACGGGTGAAAGCTTTATGCCTTCTGAGTAAGTTATTTGTTAATGTACATTTTTTTGAGTATGCATATAGATCATCTATAAAATGACATAAATAATTTACTTTTACTTTGTAAGTACCCTCTCGGAGAACACAGAGAATGCTGTTGCACAAGATGAATATGAAGATGATCTCAAAGTTGTCCCACACGTAATCACTCTATCACCACCTTATAAAAGTGAAGCAACACTAACGATATCAAGTTCATGTTCTGTAGCACAGCCCTTTGAAACTTCTATAACGAACACCGAGTACTTAAATGTTATTCCTACCGAAGGAATGATTCCTACACGAAAACGCTTCCCTTTAAGAGTACAATGTAGGAAGCATATCGATCATGACTTAGAAGCTGTTTTACAGGTTTACACAGCAAATGAGAAACGTCAAGTACTTATTAAGGTTACAAAGAAAAAGTAATTTTCTCTTAATTAGCTCTAACCTTTTAAATTATAAAATATTAGGCTATTTTTTAGATATGCAATTTTCATATGTGATAAACTTAGACTCGTCAGTACTTACTTGTACATTTGTAAATATTTTTGAACAGTAATATACTTTTTTACGAATCGTATTTGCTTCATCATTATTTTCAGCATTCCTGTTATCCATTATAAAATTTGTATTAAATGGTGAAGCATAAGTAAATTTTTACAGTGTACAGAACGTGATTTCATAAGTTAATAAACAGAATTTTATAAAATGACTTATCAATTCATTTGTTATTTAATTAGGCTTTATTTCATTTGTATATCCTATGTAAATGTCTGATCGATGAAGTGAGTACAAAATTTGCATTATGTAAAACTGCTAAATGTTCAATTATTTTAACCATATTCTGAGTATCATCAATACCTGAATGTAATTTTCCCGTATGCTTAATTTCTAGCCGAGTCAACATATCCATCATACTCCTTGGATAGTGATGCATCGTATCAGCAAATATTTTCTTTAAATCGATCCATGTCTCAAAGCAGTCCGGCACTTCTAACCTTTCCAGGGCGCACTGACTCGGAAGCATGACTTTTAAATCCCAATCTCCGCATGTTACAAAAGCACTTTTACAATCACCTCGAAAGTAACCACCATTTGATAACCAGTTAGAAAACTTTGACATAGTCTCTGGAAAGGAAGCCCCGCCATCCACTTTCTCTTGCACGATTCCTGTTAAATCCATACAAAAGGAACTAAGCAGTGGATGCACCCTCGGTTTAACATACTCATGGAAGACATCCTTCACTTTCCAGTCCTGCGTCGACAGGGTCATGCAAGGAAACTCAATGATCTCTTGCGGCTCTATTTTTCCACTTCTCACGCAGGTTGCTTCGAAATCCAATACCAGCAAATAATTGAACCGCTGAACAACGTCCACAGTTTTGTTTACAAAGTGCTTTCCCGATCCGAGGAACACCCGATGCGCCATAATTACCGCATCTTCACCGAACGTGCCTTGAATATTTAAAGCTATTAAACGTCCCGATTTCGTTTACTGTTCAAATAACATTCTTCATCCGTACTTACCATTTATTAATATATAAACACCAAGTTCGAGCGTATAAAGTTGACGATATACCGACCGAAGTTGTCAACATTACGACTCTAGTCATTAGTTACAGCAAGAGACGCCCGATGGCGCCGCATGCGAGTGAAGCCACGAAGGCGCATTTATTTAAAAATTGAAAATACATAATTCGATGAACACCATCGTCGTCCATTGGTCATATTATTTTACGTTATACCGAAGTTACTTTGACGAACGACCCCACAAATTGAAAAACTTTCATCCAGGGCGAAATCTTTTCAAAAGTCAACGACCCTTCCAAGCTTCTTCAATCGGTTGAGTACCACGTCTCCTTTCTTAATAGTCTTTTGATAAACCAATCCACGTTCGCAGCAGGGGTTAGGGGCTCTTCCTCTATCGCATCCAGCCATACTGACGGTAACCACGTTTCCTGACACCTTATCGATCTTGCAGTGCAATCTCCCACTCGCAATAAATCTGGCGACTTCCTGTTCAATAAAGGCCACCGAGACCCCAAACTCGACGGCCATCCTTTCAAGGCTCAAACTCCTGTAGGCCTGCAGGAGTTGGGAATACGCCGCGATGCGCATTTCCCTGACATAATGCCGATAATGTGGATGCAGAAGAGGATCGGCGCGCATTTCCGTCTCGATCCAGGCGAGGTTCTCGAAAAAGTGTGCGTAATGGCAGTCGTAGAAGGTAGTGAAGTAATTCCTGTACCGAGGACACTCGATCAGCAGAGCCTGCTGCAGAATCCCATGTTTATTTAATTTGTTGTTCAGGTCTTCGCGAGGCAAGGCGATCATGCTGGTGAGGATCGTGTAACGGACGAGCTGGCCGAAGGGAAGTAGCTCGTGGGATTCAAAAGTGGGTATGCAGTCCAGGAAGAGTGCAGCCGCGCGCGCGTAATTCCTCGTCGCCAGGCAATAAACTGCTTCGTAAACCTTTAATTTGTTCCTACAGCACCAATCGCTGCCGCTGGTGCAGCCCTTCTCTATCACGTTGGCGGTTTTCTCGATGGACCTACGCATTCCGTGGACGTCGTTCCTGCAGAAGGCCAATCTGAACAGGCAGAAGAGGACCTCGGCCCTGCAGCTGGTGGAGCTGTTCGCGTCCTCTAAAACGGCCACGGCGATTTCCTTCGCCCTATTCGCGTCGCCGATCGAGCAGGCAAATTCCAGCTTCTGCCGCCAATTATCCGCAACGCGGTCCTCTAAATTCTCCTCCACTTTTGTAGATTCGAGAGCATCCCAGGTCGCCGCGTTCGAAGTCGACATCGACTCCAAAAGAGCCTCGTCCATCTCCCATCCGAGATCCCTGCACACCTCTTCGTAAAACGGCACCATGTTGTTGCGTTTTATGGAGTCCAGCAACGATTCGGCAGTTTCGACGTCTTCTTTGTGCTCGGGTAAGGACAACTTGAACTTTAGCTTCGGAAGGAGCATGTACTCCGGAGTCTCGCTCCCCAGGTCCGTAGCACTGCTCGACAACATGCTCCAATTTCTCAGCTTGGCGTTACTTTTTCGAAGATCTCTCTTTTAACGAGATGTATTTCCTTTAGTTTACAGATCTAGACGTTCTAACCTCCGGAAGCTGCGACGAGGGGAATTGAACGCTGCAAGGAACGCGTCGATAGCTTTTGTTTCCACGTTTAGGAGTCATTAATCGCTTTTAATTGCTCGGCCCCCGGAATAAGTCGATGAACACGCCGAAATGATTTCCTAGCAAATCGACGCCTCGTTTCCGTGAATTATGCCGCGGAAGTTCGAGTCCTCGCACAAGCTGTTGTTATTTAAATAGGCGCCCGATCGGAGACGATTATTTTGGAACGGGCCATGAATGGGAGCGGAGTAACGACGAGTGGGGAAGTGAATGAATCGATCACCGTTTCCGCGGTTCCCGTTTCGGCGGTCCTGGCCCATTTGACGATACATCGAACGATATCCGAAGCCCTCGGTTAAATTACGATAAATGCGTTACCGGGCGATAAATTATTATATTCATAATCCGTGAATATTAATCTAATGTAATATAAAGTGCAGCGGAAACCGTTCGTCCTGTCGAACGATTTGGGAGAACCGTTCGTTCGCGCGCGACCTCGTCACCCCTTATTCGATATTTCCGGTTCGTCACTTTGCCCCGGCGTTATCAAGGGGCCTAAGAAAATATTCGTAATCTCGTTTGAAGAGCTCTAGAAATCTAGCTTCTCTGAATTCCGTGGAAAATCAGACCTGCCGGAGACTTCGTAGTCCTTGATCACCCATCGAGGTACCTATACGTAAAAAGTAATTAAATCACAGGCTCAACGAGGCTTCCCATTTGGTTACATTACTTATGAATGACGCATTCCGTGTGTAGTTTCCCCGTTTAAACGAACCGTCGTGTCCAAATACAGATACTATGGGTGCCAGACTTTTATCTCTGGATATTATCAACGTGGAGGCATCGCTCATTGATAAGCATCTTGGAAGAGCTTGTCACGATATCAATGAAGGAGTACGTCCTTTCTACTACCGCGGTGAGTGGCTTATTCCCGTTCATTCGCTGTCTTTAAATGCGGAGGTGTTTTAATTAGTTAATTTTAAACCTCGCAGGAAATAGCGGAGGAAACGCTCGTGCAAGGGAGCTTTCAACGAGCTTTTTACCGTCTACGGATTATTTACTGGAGTCTGAAATCCTCGTGTAACGAACGACGTCGAGAACGCAGCACTCGCAACGGCACGTAATCGCGTGGCTGTCAAACCTTAAACACACAAATTATCCCGGCTTATTATTGGATCGAGTCGAAACTACCGCAGCGATAAACGACGCGAGCGGTTTCCGTGTATGCGAGCACACTATGTCGGGGAAAGATGAAAAGAAAACACGCTGGTTGCATGGGACACCCCGATATCCCGCGATTCGTTCGATCGCCGATGCAAATTCGCGAATCTCGTGAGCCTAGAGCCACGCCGATTGTACAACACCCGAGGCCGCGATAAACCATCGCCGATGGTGCACGGAGAGAGAGAGAGAGAGATTTCAATTTGATATCGTCCCTGCGACAAAGTCGAAACTCACATCTGATTTATCGTTAACGAGCCGAGACTTTTGGAAACGACGTCTGCCGTGAGAAACGTCCTGAAAATGATTTCTCTTAAAATCTGTCGAAATTCCAATCGTACCCTATTAAAAGAAAAAAAATAAATAACATTAAAATTGTATAAAACCTTTCTTGGAAGTTTTATCCAGACGTGGCATATTAATTTTATAACATTCCCAATATACGTTATAAATTCAATACATAAGTGTACTCATTTCTCTAATAAAATTTCAGACTTCTAGTAGATGATACGAGGTTGCAAATTTATTTTGAAGTTTATCATAAATTTATGACGATTCACTTTTGAGACGTGAAATTTTTTATTTTATTAGGACCTTATGTACCAAAAGTGTACGTGTTGTACGAATATTTTTAACAGATAAGGTATCGTGCCTTAGGTTGGTACCTATCTCGAGTAATGTGATAATGTTCGAGGAATCACTGGAGAGGTCCCTGCGGTTGTAAATGTCGGGTTATTCGCAATTCGTAATGCATGCTAGACTCGCGAGGTGTATCTTGCCGTAGTTGCATGTAGATGTTCCGTGCAACACTCAATAGGGGTTAAACTAATTACGGAACAATCGATGATTCAGTTCCGCCACTGTAAGTTAAAGTGAAGCTCGAAGGTTTGTCTGTATCTGCGTATGTAGGATTCCCAATAGAGCCCTAAATGTTCCTTAGTCACGCTCTAACGCCATTTTTAACAACGGGGTAATTACAACTAATGAACCGCTATTGATTTTTATTCCCGCCTAAATGTTCCCCGTTAAAATTACGCGAAGCATTTGCGCGAACGTGTCATGGGGTAAACAGTGCCATAACCTCGTGTGCAAATAATTTTCAGAGCAGTAAATTTCAATAAGCCGGCCCAATATTCATGGTTCCATTTAAAATTACGCCCGTATTCGATGTCGATCAAAATTCAAATTGGCCACTCGATGCCCGGCCACGCTTTCATCCGGCTAATTAATTTACCGGGCACTACTTAAACGCGATTGATAATAATTCCGACGCCTCTTTTCTTACGGTTAAACGAAATATTATAATTATATTATTACCATGTAGCATTGCCAGCTCGGAAAACCGGGCAGCACCTGATATTCTACGAAATTCCTTAAGCATACATCACGCGTGCCGGTCACGCACGCACGTGCGTGAAATGCGCTAGTCGCTCGTAAATATATCCTGGAATATCGCCTGAATATTTTATAAAACCGTCGAGCTACCTTGATTTTGGCGAGACGTCCGTGAGATGAAACTTGACACGTGCGAGAGCTGCAGCTGTTCCCGGTTCGCAATTTTACATTCTTACATTTTACATATCGCGATACAAAGTACGTATCATTTTTAGTCTCTACAAGGTACGCACAAGCGAAATTGCCATGCCCATCACCTCTCCTGTAAATTCAACCGTACAGTATTCCTTTCAATTTTTTTTTTCGGGTAATCATCAGGTAATCAATTTTACATTCTTACATTTTACATGTCGCAATACAAAGTACGTATCATTTTTAGCCTCTACAAGGTACGCACAATTGAAATTGCCATGCCCATCGTCTTTCCTGTAAACTCAACCGTACGGTATTCCTTTCAATTTTTTTTTCTTTTTTTTTTCAGGTAATCATCGCCCGATTAAATCCAACTTTTCCAGAGTGGACCATCGAGGAGTGAATATTTCCGTCCACGTAAATAATCGCAAGATCTCGCGTGGGGAAATTCATTCATAAAGTCCGTGCAAGACTCGCGTGTCGTCGCTCGTTAATAATAAAACAAACGAATCGTGAATTACTCTTAGATCGCGAGGTTTTTTTATAGACTTTTAAGGCACCGCCGGAAGACGTTAGCGTCGAACTTTACGAATGTGAGGTATTAATGTATAATATAATGCTCTGCTCCGGCCCCACGAGAAATCGAATGTAACATGGTTTCCATTTTGGCGT